AGAAGATCAGGGAGCAGAATATTACACTTCACTTTTTAATGCGTGAGTGAGTTCAGTGTGGGCTGAAGGTAGGAGCTGATAAAGCAAGGAGGTGCCGTGCAACCTTCAGTCAAACACACTCTGTTTCATAACTGCCAGAGGCCTTCTCAGGTGCTCCTGGTCTCTCCAGCAAAGAACATGGATATGTGCAGTTTTGTGCAAGAAGGACCAGCTTATTTCTCTGGGSTCCTTGCCCTAGCCAGAACAGAGCTCTCCACTTAAGAAATGAAAGCTCCTAACAGCAATGACCTGAGCCATCTAGAACAAATTGTATTTTTTAGATTTTACGAGCTCATGAAAGACTTTCAGGCTTAATCTTCCAGCCATAGTTAAGACTTGAGGGCAAGGAGGGAAGATGTGCTAAATATAGCAAAACAATGAGAGATTCACTCTCCTGGAGGGGGTACAAAATTATGAAAATCCCTCCAAGGACTCCACCTTCTCCACATGGTGTGCAACACAGTCAGTTTCAGCACACAGATATGTTGGTAGAAGTATTGCTGCACAAATGCTAAGCCATTCAGGGACTAACTCCAAACCTAGACCTGGTTTGCCACACAACACTAGAGCCATCCACTGCCTACATTTGTTCAAATGTTGTTGATTTGAACTAGAGAGTCTTCCTTAATTTTCCTCCAGTTTCTTACTACTGGAAACTCAATCACCACCTAATACCTTAAGGTAATTCTGACCAGCTCCCTCCTTCCTTTCTGCTCCTTTCCTGTTAGGCTCTTTGGTTAGYTTTCTCAGGTGCATGCAGTTGTTCTTCCAGCCATCCTTGTTCACACAGGATTTTGAACAGCAGATGTATCTCAAGGTGGAGAGTGCATCTATGAATATGGTTTTCTCAAAATATTCTTCAAGGCTTTGCTAAGGTACTATTTGTCCTTTCTTCAGATATGTTGTGCTTTAGTATTAGTAGGGCCTTCTTACCTATTCCATCTTGATGCAGCTGTTTCACCCTTCAGTAGCCCAAAGGCTGGAAAAAGCACATATAATYCCTTCTTTTTGATATGTATTGTTGTCATTTACCACACCTTGGTACATTGTGATGCTTTGTTGGGATYGCTTGGCTTTTGCAAGCTGGGTGTTACCAAGAATATTCAACATTCCCCATCCCCTCTCAGTTATTGCAATTTAAATGCTGATTTAATGAGTTCTGCATGAAACAGAGGTTGCCTGGCACATGGGAAATCCTTTACCAGCAAGGTGTTATGATCTCTCTTCACTTCATATCTGTCTTTCATTAGTCTGATGAGAAGATTTATTCTGCTTTCCAGTATTGGGGAGACCTATTTAATCTCCTATTGAGGACAACGGAGTGTTCAGTGGTTTGCTAACTATTCATTAATATTTGGGAGAATATTACCTCAGAAACATCTCCAGTTTGGAATAGGACTGTTCAGCCTAATTTGGTAGYGGTTTCCTGTGCTCCTTTCTTTACAGTGGTTCAGTTTACTCTTACCTTGCTCTCAGCTGCAGCTATTTGTACTTGTGCAAATAGTGGATGGGGGCAAAATGTGGTGTGGGATCGTATGAATTCATATGAAATTTCTGCTGAGCTAAACAAATGTTGCAAGCAAGGAGCAAAAGTAAATAGAGCTTTGCCTCTTTCTTCGGCAAGGTCCTGGGAAATGAAAACCAGGGGAGCCATAGAGAGTGAGCTATTGGCCCTGGGATAGGCTGGTATTGAGCTTTTCAGCTCTGTCTTCAGACATCTTTTGAAAGCAATATCTGAAAATGAGGTAGTTCATATAAAATGTCAGAAAATCAGAGTTATGGTGTTGTGGAAACAAAATGGGTGTCTTTATTGCAAACCTCTGGTCTTGGTACAAAAGTGCCAAGAAAATAACTACTCATACAGGCCCTATTGAAATGTTTTCTTTTTACACTTGCATTTTATTTCATACCTTACAMAGCTCGGTATTCTACAATTCATCTGGAATACACCTTTGAGTTTCCCTGTTGGTTACTGCCTTTCAGTGTGAGGTATTTGCACTAACTACAGCATGCATCCAGCTTGGGTGAAATTCCTTTTGGAGTTATCTTTACTAGCCAAATAGGCATCTGCACCCAAAATCTGCATGCTTAACATAAAAAGGCTATTATTTCCAGGTTCCTACTATTCTGATTTTAGGTGTCCAAAGGTAATGAAGTAGTGCAGCCCAGCTGGATAATTTTGGTGGTGAAGGTCTTGTACTCAGAAACTAACAACTTTTCGGTCTCCTTAGGAACAACAGTTCCCAGAAATTTGCCTCCCATGACAGCTGCTTGAAATATTAGATTCTTTATTCAGTGAAGAACGAAATATTTTAAAATGAAATATTGTATAGATTTTCATTCCATATTTTCTCAAATCCAAGTAATTTTTTTATTATTATTTGAAACAAAATATGAAAATATTTCCTTCTTTCCTGTGCCTTCTCTCTTCTCTCTGCCTGTCTTTCGAAAAAAAAAAAAAAAGGCAGACAAAAATAGTCTCTAAAAAAGGAGACTTAATTGAAAAGTCGCTTTAGGAAAGAATCTTTATCCATTTGCAAAAGATCACTTTTGATAATCTGCAAAGGGAACTATGGTGACCACTTATTTTTATCSTGTGAAATTAAAGACAACTCTTTTATCTCCAGTTCCAGCACTGTACTGTGCCCAAACTGTTTAGCCCACTAACAAGATTCAGCAATTCACCACGAATTTTTGCTAAGGGTTTTTTTCTTTCTCACTCATCAATTATTTCCTATATTCTGCCAAAATAAAAAAAGCCAAATGCATTGTAAAACAAAAATGTCAGATTTTCTTGCTTTAGATACTGACCTTTGACAAGCCATGTGTTTGTTCTGTTTTTTTTGTGAGACAAAGTTAGAGAGAAGTGGTTGCATGACTGGAGCCGATGCAAATGTCTGAAGACAMACAGCAGAGCTCTGGCACACCTGCACTTAGCTGAGCCCCTTACCCTCTGCAAAATAAAAATACACATTGTGAAAACAAATCTTAATATGCAAAAGCAAGAACTGACTTTCTGTGCTCAAGATATATTGAAATTATGAGAAAAACACCTTCAGGCACCTTGCTCACCTTTCCTACCTGCCCCTCTAAAACAGCCTCTGCTGAATCGATGGTCCCTACAGAACGGTTTCATGCTTTGAATAGCAGAAGTACAATGTCTTATAAAGTTATAATCAGGCTAGATCTCTCTAATCTGGGTTATAGCTCAACTGTGAAGGCTCTTTTGAGTAAAATCATTTCTTTATTAATGAGATTCAGCCCAATCTCACTGATAAAAATTACTTTAAAAGATGTCCCTTTGCTGCTATTCAAATGAATGGAAGAAAACGGTGGGTGTTTTAAGAGCTGTCTTCCTGTCATATCAGGGTGGATCTCATTAGTGAAGGGAATGATTTTACCAGGGAAAAGATTCTACAATGAGAAAACATAGCTTACCATAGATGAGCAAAATTCAAATCTGAAAAAAACCCTCTTAAAAATCATCCCACTGCTTGCACTCAGCAACAGGAGAAAGGACATTTCTNAAAAAAAAAAAAAAAAAAAAAAAAAAAAAAAAAAAAAAAAAAAAAAGGTATTTTTTAAAGTTGAACTGGACAGGATCTCATTAATATAGGACCTATTTTACTTAAAAGAACTACCAGAATTATTCTACTGTTCAACTGCAGATTAATCAAATCAAGTATGATTGGGGGGGAAGGAATAACTCAAAAGTGTTATATATGTATAGAAAGCATTTGACTTAAGAAATAGACATAGAAGGATTATAATCCACAGGTATTTTTAAAGTAGCTGGCACACATTTGACCAGGTAAATTTTTTAACCAATGCTTGGAACCTCAGTTAGATGCAACCAATCACAAGTAACTGGAAAAAAAGGCAACACAGTGTAAGATCACACAGAGTTTACAATAGCCTGATTATCCTTMTCCTTGGATTATTAGCAGGAAAGGCTACAAGAACCCTAGACATTTTAGCCTTTACTGATTCCTCTTTCTATCAAAAGACAGTTTCAGCTGGGTCCTGGACTGCAGAGAGTGAGGGAGTTCGTGCTTTTTCCTCATCACCCTTTGTTGGGTTATGAGATTCAGCATAAATCTTGCAATGAGGTCTCTCAAGTAGCATTGCTCTGAAGGCAAAAGACAGTGTTGATAAAGAAAGATCCAATTGTAAAGGAGTGGACATGTTTATCTTCTTCTCTAAAGCACTTCTAGAAAATAGGAGAGGCTGGGACAGTGTACTGCMGATGTGCAGTCTGGAGTCCTAGCTGAACAGGAGCAGGAATTTGGAAAAATCCAGCTCAGAAAATTGCCCAAGCCTGGAAATATCTATTTGAACAGAAACTAAACACTAGACACTGTGTGTCTTTCATAGACTGTGACTGGCATTGCAGTGTTGGACAGACAACTGTGAATGCAAAATCATATCCAGACTTCTACAGTGTCTCTKGTTTCCTACTACATGGCTTTTCTAACATTTTGATGCCTTTATTCTTCTCTCACAGAACTCTTCCATGAAGCAATATAGCCAGCTGCAGATACTTATCCAAGCTGCAAACACAAACCTAGACAGGAATCGGCTTTTGATTTAAATAACTCTAAATGAATTTGAATCACTGCAAGACTACATACAMCTGTGCACATGGATGTCTTTTACTGTGTTCTGGTCCTGAAACTTTTGCAGTGATTTCTTGATGACCCAGTGCAGCAGCAACTCCAGAGGTATGGAAAAATCAGCATATTAATGTGTGTTCACCAGGACCCAATTTGTGAGATCTTTTAAGATTAATTTTCCTGTTATCACCACAGAGCAAATATTAATGTAATAAACACTCATGGGTTTTTTTTTTTTTTCAGTGTGCTTAAAATAATTTCTGATCACCAGATTACTGAACATACTTGGAATTTAGTAAAAGCTAATTGCAAGAAAATAAGAAAGAGGAAAGACTAGATTCTGTGTAAGTCATGTTTTATTTTTTTTCCATTCAGTGATTGTCAGATTCCTTGACATATCTACAGGCTGGAATTTCAATACATCTTAATACATATACACTATCTCATAGATTTACAATCACTAATTAACTCTGTAATGCACTTCACAACAGTTAAGGTTAAATTTATTTCCTCTCTTTCACATTAACACACACATTCAAGMACATACATAAAAACATACCAACTGATACATGTGCGAAAATCTATAGTGATCTTTTATTTTAGCCCACCTCAAGGTGGGCTAGAATTCTCTCATCACATTTTTATATATTCTGAACATGTTAAAACAAATCTGTCCATGTCAAAAAAGTGAATGCCATGGACTTTATCTTTCCAGATGAGAAAGCTGCTCTGAGGTCTGATTGCAGCTATCTGAAATGAAAACACTGTAGGTGTATCCCACATTAAATGTTCAGCTTGAAGCTAGCAGTTAAGCATGTCACATTATTACATGCATAATAATATGATGARCTGAAATGACAGAATGCCAGCTTCCCACCAAAAATTAAAGCAACAAACACTGATTTCTTCCAAGGGTACCAAATTTGCACAGTGGCTTCAGGAAATGACAGCATGTGCTGCACAGGCAATACGACATACCAATGGAAATGGTAATGCAATGCAAACTCTCTGAAATACCACATAATATTTAAGGAACATGTAAGTTTTAAATGGTGCAGCAAGTATACAGTGTAAGTAAGAAAGGCAAAGTCTACTTAAAACAATTAGTTTCAGCTCCTTTCACTRAAATAAAATTTAATGTACTCTTGATTAGGTCTTTATACTTGCTAAAGAACAACCAGATATGTTTGATGCATTAGAAGATGACCTTTTGGAGAATCTTAGCACCTCTTCCTTCCATGGAACTTTGGATCTGTTCAACACTCACGTGTAGGACCTCACAAGGTTTATCAAGTTTTAAAAAGATGCAATTTAATTAGGTTAATATTTTATTTATGTTACAACTTCCCCCTAGTCATGTCTAACAGAGGTTCTGCTTACAATCTTGCCAAATACCAAAGAACAAATCAACAGAACCTAAATATACTTTTAAAAAAKATGTTACTTGGATAAAATTTACATTTGAAAGTCTAAATTTGCATTTCTCTCTATCCCCCCAACTATCAGCTTATTAAAAATGAAAGTTTCCAAGAGATCTTTTGGAAGCAAAACTTTTATTTTTTGAATGATTTAAACACTTTTACTGGTGCATGTTTTATATAATTTGGCTGCATTACATCCTAATTTTAGTTATCACAGAACTGCAATTTTTTTTCTTGCCGAAGTGGAAATGGGACATTGTTTGTACACAAGCAATCCCACAAAAGAAATAGAATCTTACAAAAAGCTGGAAACAACCAAATCTCATAATAAAGATTAGTCACCAATCAGAGGTCTTTCTACATTGCAAACATGAGTGTTAATTGGACCCAAAAATCACCCCCAAAATCCGCATCAATCTCCTCTAGTACACAGTTGTAGTACTTAGTGCTGATTCTCAAGTGTGAATCTCAGGTGTTCCAGCCCTGTCACACTGCCAGTRGACTTAAGACTTTCAGGAAAGGATTTAGATTCCAGAAAAAGAGAATATTCCAGGGCCATTGAAATCTGAGTAAAAAAAAGGTAGCAAAATATTTTCTGTGTTCCTGAGAAACTAACACACATTAGCCTCTTAGATGGTCTTCCATGCTGTCTATGTATCCATTACTTGGGCAAGATGGTGTTACAAAATAATGTATTATATGATAATTTTAGAAGTTTATTGCTCAATTAAAAATGAGAAAAGAGTGCTTTGTTTTACTTACAGAAAACAAATAAAAAGACATTTGATGTCTTGTGTTTTTGCAACACATGAACGACATAGTATCCAAAATTCAACAAGACCAAGTGGACAGCCCACATGCTTCTTTATTGCTCTAAGAACAGAGATTTTTGATATGACAAACTTCTTTGCTCTCTCTTGTGGGCCCCTAGGTGACCAGGATTTCGTTTTCATCTCACACATCTCTGATTTAAAGCACCGAAAAACTGACATGTCTGCTTTCTGGCAAACCACAGGGAAAAGCGAGGTTCAGCCTTAAGCATTTCCTTGGAAAATAGTATGCCAAAGATCAGTCTCTGTCAGCAGAAGCACTGCAGCTTTCACTATTTTTTTCACTGGCACAGAAATGTTGTAATGTATCAGAATCCTGCACTGCTCACAGTGCTCACCCTGACTGTATTTATATCCCTCTTAGGTCATTTATGRATGCTGCCCCACGAGGGTAATCCAGCTTGGGCACTGTGTGTACATCCACTGCACAGCCAAGTCACTCCAGAGGTAAACASAGCCACCCTGAGAGGGGGCTTCCGAGCTTAATACCAGATTTTCAGTGCTGGCAATGTTCCTTTACCTCTCTTCTGCTGTCTCCTACTCTTCCTCCTCTTCTGTTCAAAGGACAATCATGAACAGCCACAGTCTCCATGGAAGCCTCTCTGACAAGGACCTTCTTGAACATTTAATGCCCTAGAACAAGGTTTGCTTTCCTTCTCCAAGGGGATGAGTTGTTGTGAACACTTTGGTTGTCTCCAGCCATGCCAGTCAGGACACRTCAGAGCACATTTGGTCCAGAATACACTTGAAAGCAGCACAGACACCAGTGCAAAACTTCCAGCGTTCCCTTCTGCCCTATTGTGCACTAAGGGGATGCTCCAGAGGGATTGCCAAGGGAAAAAAGGTTTAACTGTTTGGTAATGATTTCAGATCTGCTGCCAGAAGTACTGTAATGAGACAAAAGGGCACAGCTATTGTATCCTCTCTGGCTCATCCTTTAATTTGTGGATTCTCAGATGCGTTGCATATTTCTGCTCTGGTTTTCAGCTTCCAGGATCTCTCTAGATACAGCATCGTGCACACCTCTTTGCAATAGCCTCATTTGTAATGCAATCAGAGCAAGGGTAGCTGCAGTGAAGTTCACACATAACAGAAATGCCTGCACCTGTTCTAAATGCAGGTGAAAAAAAATAGCTAGGTTGATAAGAAGCTACACATGACCCAGCAATGTGTGTTTGCAGCCCAGAAAGCCAACTGTGTCCTGGGCTGCATCCCAAGCAGTGTGGCCAGCAGGACAAGGGAGGCAATTCTGTCCTTCTACTTTGCTCTGCTGAGGCCCCACATGCAGCTCTGGGTCCTCAACATAGGAAGGACGTGGATCTGTGGAGCAAGTCCARAGATGATTATAGCAATGGAGCACCTCTCCTGTGAGGAAAAGCTGAGAGAGTTGGGGTTGCTCATCCTGGAGAAGAGAAGGCTTTGGGGAAACCTTATAGAACCTTCCAGGTTACAAGAGAGCTGGACATGGACTTTTCAGAGAGTGTGTAGAGACAGAACAGGGGGAATGGCTTTAACTGAAAGAGAGTASTTTCAGACTAGCTGTAAGGAAGAAATTCTCTACCATGAAGATGGTGAGGTAATGCKACAGGTTTCTCAAAGCTTTTAATGCCCCATCCCTAGGAGTGCTCAAGGCCATTTGGATGGGGCTTTGAGCAATCTGGTCTAGTGGAAGGTGTTTGAGTGAGATGATCTTTAAGGTCCCTTCCACCCAAAACCATTCTATGATTCCATGATTCCATGATTCCATTAACCTGACTGCGGCTGCCATGCAAATCAACAATTCCTTCCTGTGSTCAGGCAAGACTTTCAAATCAAGAGCATGTGTTCTCATTTCATCCTTTCTGTATCTTTAGGTACCATTTATTCTTTGTCTTTTTGCATCAGGCTCAGTCTGAGATCTCTTCCTGGCTGTTCTAACCATCTTCTTGAACTTCTGCAGGTACTTTGCAAACCACGCTGATCTGCAGAGCTAAAGAGAGGGAAAATTCAACCATTTATGTCCTTCTGCCTATGTAAATAAACCATGACATACACTTTGCCTTCTTCCTCCTATCCCTACTAATTTGCAATGTCTGGATCCTCCACTAAATGTCTCATAATTTCCATAAGGAATATGGACTCCCTATTATGAACAAACTGATTTAGTACTGAAAAATTAAAATGTCACAGAGAAAAGATGAAATTGTGAAAGCAAAGGAAAAGAAAAACACACTTAGGGCTACAAACTGTGATACTGTCTGGTCTCAAATACAGTGATAAAAAGGCAAGTTATTTTTTCCTTCTTCAGGATATGAGAACATTGCTTTCAATTAACTATGCAGGATATGTAGCCATGCAAATGATGGAGCTGACCAGGTGATCCCTGCCCTCACTCACTCCAACATGAATCTGGGTTTGCATCCTGAAAGGGACTGCTGCAAGTTTGTGCTGGMAAAACTAAGAATAGTATTTGAACCACTGCCATAAGAAGAAGCAAAGAACCAAACAGAACATTATTAAAATGTCAGTGTTCATTTCTGTTCTTAATAGCTATGTACAACACCCCTGCTCCTTCACAAAAAGGAGCTGGAAGGTCACTGTCATTTCTGGTCTTGAAGACATGTGTCACTCATTTCCAGCCTCTTCTGATATTTGACAGTATGGACCTGCCTGGAGCACAGCAAGAATAAAGGATGACACAGCTCACTGAGCAAAATTTCATTAACAATTTTCCTCCTACTCAAATAAGAGTTCACCCCTGACCCTAAAATGTAGAGTTTGCTACAGAAGAGGCACTTGCAAGGGCTTCTGTTAATGCAATCCAGCCTTTGAAAAAGACAGGTCTCTGTCTTGTAGGAATGCTTGAATTTATAACAACCTTTGATAAAATACTACATAATCTGTAAGAGAAGGAATGGGCTGCTTCAGCAGAGCAGGTCATGTTTTTCATTGTCTAGTCTGACCTGAGTTTATTGCACCAAGTGAAGCTAAAAGCATGGGTTTTCAGTGAAAACCACTGCATGTGTATCAGCTATATTTGTGTGTTCATATTCACGTCATAATTAACAGTTTACTCATAATTTGCAGATTAGATGCTATGCTTCATTTTGGTAAAACAGGAAACTCCATTAACAGTTTAATTACTAGCTTGCCCAGGATATTTTGTGCTGCAGTAAAAACTGATACTTTTCCTTTTACTGTAACATGACCTCATCATATGCTATAGTTGGTACCTGGCTTGACAGGCGATACAGATTTTTCTTCATGACAAGCAATGTTGCTTGGGTCAAGCACTTTCTACATTCATCAAAATGGTTTGTATTTAAGACCAACTATATTTGACTGTCTATATAGCTTAATTTACCATGTGTCATCATAGCCCATTACATGATAATTGAGGTTTTATATGCTTATTAAAGACATAACAGGAAGTTTCAGTTGGGTGAAATCATGACACTCATCCAAACCTATACATATTAGATGGAAATAAGTCTCCCAACCTTAACATTTCCACATTTGGGGAAATCTTGATTTTAAACTTGGTGGATTAAACCAACCTCTAATATTAAATGTAACTACTTAKAGAGGTAATTTATTCTATTCCACCTGCCTAGACACAAACGAAGATATTCTTAAGCATTGATGTGACAAAGAACGTTGTACCAGTAGACTGTGCTCAGAAGAGAGGGACCTGTCACAATAGCTTTAGAGTTTCCACTCTGAAAGAAGATTCATTTCTGTGATGGTCTAACCTATTCTATAGAAGCACTTCATAGAATAATAGAATATCCTGATTTGGAAGGGRCCAATCAGGATCATCTAAGTCCAGATCCAGGCCTTGCACAGAATGATCCTCAAGAATCACATCRTATTTCTGCATTGTCCAGAATTTTCTTGAACTCTGTCAGGTTTGGTGCTGTCACCACCGTCCTGGGGAGCCTGTTCCAGGCCCAACCAACCCCTGGGTAAAGAACCATTTCTAAAAATCCAATCTAAACCTCCCCTGGAGCAACTTAGGGCCATTCCCTCGTCCTGTCACTGTCACCAGAGAGAAGAGATCAGTGCCTGCCCCTTCTCTTCCACTCATGAGGAAGCTCTTACCCGTTAAGCCAGCTGCTCACCCATCACAGGATGTTTATCCCTCTGTGGGATGCATATTTTGTCCAGAAGGATCTTACGACAGAGAGTATCAAAAGCTTTACTGAATATTAAGAAATTACATCTACTGGCTTCCATTGATCAGCTAGGTGGGTTACCTTGTCATAAAAGGAAATTAGGTTTGATAAGCAGGACTTTCCTCATGAAGCCRTRCTGGCTGTGAGCAATGACTGTGTTGTCCTTCAGAAGTTTTCCAATAACTCACAGGTATTCCTTGTGGCAGGAAGGGCTAATATCAACAACTTCTGGAGAAAAAAAAAGTAAAAGAAAGCTTAGTATTACTTTAATGCTTGGTTTAAATTTAAAATACAGTCTAAAGACAGTTGTGGTGTGGGAGTGCGGTCATTTTAAGCAAGTACTGTCTTATGTTTTTCTTATTTGTAATGTTCTTAGTAACTGASAGGAGAGAGCTGTGACTGATAAATAATCAATATCTGCAAGACCATATAAATACAGCAGAATATTAAGATGAAAGAACTCACGAATCAAAAGAGATTTTGATAAAATTCCCAAGCAATTAGATATTTCCTTTGTTGACAGACCTTTTTTAAAARTCTATCATGATCTTTCTAACCAATACTTACAGTTATTAAGCACTGCTCCAGCAGCAAGCAACTGAAACAATCTGACACAAGATTCATTTTATCTTATTGTTATTTCTCAATATTAGCAATAATTTAATTTTAAATTTCTATTCTTTCAGTAAAGACTACATTAATGTAGACAGTGCATAGGAGTCTTAAAGTATGAGATAAGGCTGTATGGGGGAGATCTGTTCAATGTGGGCGACCTGTCTCCCAAATTCAGTTCTTATACTTCATATTTTAATTTATTCAGAACGCCTTTGCAATTCACACCCTCTGATCTTCTCTTGTATAAATCACACTGGCCCTTGTTAGTCCTTTGGTAACATCATACTGGTACCTACCATGAGGCATCCAGGAATGAGACAATAGTGCATCTTCACATTTTATCACCTCAAGATTTGCACTTTGGATTAAAAATTAGCCCTATGAGTGCAAAAGCCAGCAGCTGAAGGGCTTATATTTCTCTTGCCCTAGTAAACAGGGCTTAGGAAAGCTTTGAACTCCTCAGAGACAGATAAAGAATGTAAAGAAACACTTCACATTATGAAACACAGGTCTCTAAAAAGTTACAAAAAGGCTATCAATACAGCTACACCAAGTCTCTTTTCCCTCAAACAATACTTGTAGAGAATATGGAATTCTTCACTTTCCCTCCATTTTTAACTAAACTGGCTACAGTGTTAAAAATAGAAAGGGCATGTCAATAGTTTTTTTTTTTWTAACCTAGCCTAAAAACTGTATCTGTAGCTCTGAATGGGAGTAAAATTTTTGAGCATTTCCAAGCAAACTGTGGTTGTGTTCTGACCAGAAAGTAGATGAGCACTTCTCAGTGCCTGTCCACAGCCTCCAGTATAGATAGTGCTCCATTACAGACTGTAACTTCAATACCCACAACATTTAGTGAGGCTGTTAAACGATAAAACTGGCCCTTAATTGCATTAGCCAGCAAAAGGGAGGTCTCTGGAAGAGCGGCTTACAAAGAATTTGGATCCAGAACACTCCCATAGGACTCCAAGCCTCCCATGTTGTCCCCTGTGTCTTTTCTCCTATTTACCGTGCTTTTTAAAGCTTATTGTTTACCTGGGAAGAAAATTCAGTCAGAACCATGAAATACAAGTAATCATCAATGTTTGCCAATATCCAAAGGGTAGTAAATAAGGTATTAGCTGCAGAACATCAGTWACTAAGTGCCTGGAGAGTGGCCAGTCTGGCTGTAAGTATGTATTCCTTTTCTCCCCTGCTGTCATTTATGTCAGTCTTGAATAGATTCTGTTTCACTATGCAGTGGATTACACCCAGAGCTTATGGATATGAATATGGGTTGCTTGATTTGCTCTCTCTGATCATGCTCCAGTGGTATTAACACTTGGGGTCAATCTGGATTATCCCATGTTTAAAAGATGGCAATTAAACACTTCAATTCTTAATTTCTGARAATTTCTTCTTGCTCACATGCAGAGCTGAAAGAATTGCTCATGCAGACTTACTTTGCCAGTTTCTGGTTGCTGGTGGTCAGGGTGGAGGTATGGGGAAAAAGAAGTAAGATTGTTGCACAAGTATTCTGCCTTGGATCTGAATGAGTTCCAAGGAACTTAAAGGTTGAATGGGAGATTTCACTTTTCAGAGACATTTTCTCCTTCTGTGTTGAGACTCCACAGTCAAAATTAGATAAGATACAAACCTAAAGCAAAGTCTGGAGTTCAAATTTTACCAGTTTTGTGTTTAGAAAAGAGCGTGGTTTGCCATCACAGGAGGTAAGGGTGACTGCATGTGAAACCGTCTGGGATACCACCAAGTGAGAAGGAACTTGGGACCCACTTCCAAGCTGGAAGAAAAATGCAAAGAAAAGCAGAAGGCTATCTTTAGCGTGCCAAGTACATTACAAGAAAAGATGAGATCATCCGAAAGGTAAAGGAGACATTCCTCTAAAATATATGTCTCTGATGTCATGCAGTAGCTGGTGTGAAAACTCGCTCAATATGTAGTAGCTCAGATATTTTTGYTCATTATTTATTTTTATCCTCAGTATGTTAACTAGGAAGACAGTGTCAGAACTACACAAAATGAAGGCACTTTGAGCAAGAAAAAATATTTTGAAAAAGTATAGAAATTATTGTGAGAAAGACTTTGTTTAGAAGATTGTTAAATCCCCTTTCTAAATATACTGGTTTAGAACTCRAACAGGTTTAATTGGGAGTGAACACAGCAGTTTCAAGGGCCCTGACAAAGTGGGTGGGGGAAAAATGAAAGCAAAATGTTTGCTTAGACTCACTGTATTTGACCTTTTCTAAGACCAGGCTATGAATTCCAAGTTTAACCATAGTTTTYTGTGCTTTTTTGAAGGCAGGGACTTTTATCTATAGAAAAAAAATTATGATATGATTAAGTAGAATAGTGGAATAAGTGGAATATTTTCTCTGTATTAAAAACAACACCAATCAATGATTTGAAAGATTAGATTATTCTTTTCTCAAGTGGAAAAATGTGTGGCCAGACAGCAGCTACATGTTAATACCAATGTTAAATTTAGCTTCACAAAATTTGTTTCCCAAACTCTCTGAAGTTTGCAAGAAATAAAAACTACCCAAGGTTGAAAAGAGCTCACATAATCATAAGATTCCAAGAGGCCATAGTGCCTACAAGTACCCTTAGCCATGAAGGTGTTAATCACTGTATATACTGTCTCATCTGCATCTAAGAAGCTCTGCAATTAAAATTAGAACTTTTATGTCTGATCCCCAGCTTGCTGCTATTCAAAGCCCCTATMTACATACACTGGGGATGGAAAAGGCCTTTTGAAAGTAAATAATTGGAAAAATTAGAGGGATTTTCGAAGATTGCAGAGCTTCCCTTTAGGACCAGTCCAGGAGCCCTGTCCTTCTGTCAAAGTACAAATTACCCCCATATGGTGATGTCCGTTCTCTCAACTGTAATTTATTCATTATGCAGAGTGCCGAATACCAAATGGTGAAAGCACGGCAGCAGAACAATGAAACAGGCTTGGGAAGCTAATAAGTGTCCAATCAATGAGAACCTAATGAACTATAACATGTAATATTTTATAAGGCATTCAAATTAAAAAGGGGAAAGAAATCAACAATGATGAAATATCAATTTACTTATTCCAAGTCTAATCAAATGAAATAAGTATCATTCTCCAAAAATACAGTCATAAGTGACATTTGGGGAGGGGGAATGAGTGGAAGATAGGATCAAGCCAAAATTCCTTTAAGAGCATAATTAGTATTAACCAACTGTCCTTATTAAATGTAAGCTTTTTGCACCAAACTCTTCTGGTAAGGTAGTAAAAGATTGTGGGGATATTTTCAGTACACAACCTTTTCTCTTCTCTCCCAAAAGCTTTATTTTACTGTAAGTTCCATTACCACTTCTGAAAAAAAAAAAAAAAAACCCAACTCCTGAATCCGCTTCTGTAGAAATAACACTAATTAATAGATCAAGTACAAGGTAATCCCAGGAAGGTGTTCTGTCTTTCCTAAGCAGCCAATAGGTAGAACATTTTCTGGATGGAGCTGTCTTCATTCAAATGCTGGCAAGAAAGCTATTAACTCTATCCCCAAAATGAGGATGTGACGGCACAGATCCAGGTATCCTGTCTGAGCACTTCACTGGCTTTTTTGTCTACTAGGCTGCTCAGTCAAGAATCTCTGCTTTTCAGTCTTCTTCCACTGAGACACCCA